AGTTTTTACTGGTTGCGTTCAGACAAGTGAACACGTCTTCAGTTGAGAGGTCCCTTCAGGTACCTGAGAATGGGTGGACTTGTCCTCATCATCACGATTCTCAAACAGCAGACGACTGTTAGGCTGCAGCCTCAGGGTGATATTCTGGCTCTTCTGGAGGACACTATGGGAAGTCAGGCTGCTTTGGCCACTTTTGCCCCTTCTCAGAACAGGAGTACTCAGTGGTAGACATCTTTCACTCTCTTCCCTTTCGTGGGTTGTTATTTTGGGGATCTGTGCCTTGATGTTTATCCACACCCCTTAGGCAGTTTGAAATTCCACAGTGAAATACTTGGCTGAGTGTGATAGTCAAGAGCAAATGTTTGCCAGGTTGCTTGAGTGCTATTGTTCACGCACCATGTTTTTTACATTTAAGCACATATTTGTATACTCTGACAATTCTGAGAAGTCTTTGGTAGGTTTTCATCATCCCAGTCTTTTGCATTTTCCCGTTTCTTTTTGCATTTAGCAGCATCTGGGTCCCATCAGAGCCTGGGACAGGGGGAGGCGGCTGCCTGCTTCCTCCCTGCAGAGCAGAAAGTGCCGGGAGCTGCTCTAGCACACAGCTCCGCGGAGAAGGTCGTTCTGGCGGTCCCAAGCCCCCTCACGCTCAGTCCTGCGGACCTCCTCACCCGCATCCCCGCGGGCCGCAGGAACCCGCTCCCGGCAGCTGCCGCGCAGCCGCTGTGTGGACCCGGCAGCTGCACCCACCACCCAGCCAGCCAGGACCCAGCGCACCAGCTCATCCTCCCGCCCGCATCCTCCTCCCCGCAGCTAGAGGCCGTAAAACCTGCAACTCCCGGCTTTTTTTTTGTTTTTTTTTGTTTTCCTTTCAAATGCCATTATTATTATTATTTTCACTATGTGCGGGAATTCTTTGAGGATATGAGTAGAAGTAGATTTCTCCAGAAAGGATCTGCGTTTGCTTCTGTCAAGCTCCTGGAGATATCTTCAATCTGGGACGACTTTAATTTTCAAACTTGAGGTTTCTTGGATCACAAATAGTTCGAATATGAACTGTTCAACCATGTGACGGACAGTCCGCGTCCTACCTCTTCCCAGTGCCAAGATTTGAGGCGGAGAATTTTCTGTCCCCTGAGGAGTTAGAAGGGTTGTTTACTTCAAGTTCACGTTTGTTTGTTTGTTTAACACTTTTTATTGAGTTATAGTCATTTTACAATGTTGTGTCAAATTCCAGTGCAAAGCACAATTTTTCAATTATACATGAA